TATCTTCTTGCTGTGTCACACCTAGCACCCACCCCTGTAGTACTTCTGCCAGTGCTGTTACTTCCTCAGACGGGGCTAGGTGTGACCCATTAGACTGACCACCAATACCATGCAGTTTAACCCATATTACGTTACATAATGTATTTATATTAATATGTATAGTATAGCGCTTGCAAAGCCTTTTTCCTTTGTATATATCAAAGGCTGCAATTGTAAATGTAAAAGCACCATAGAGCATGGATCTTTCTGGGGCTCTGTCTGTATGTTGTGGTGCAGCTATGTAAATATCAATCAACACAATAGCACCCTGCAGCCTTCCTCAAGCAGTTTCACACTCCTTTGAGTACTTGTCACCAGCCAGCAATTAGCTCCAACTTAGAACAAAGCAACCACTGTTGCAGGGAGGATGACTAGGCACTAGCACAGGGGGAAGAAGGTTGGCTATGAAGCCCTGTGATGAGGCGAGAAGTACCCCAGGTGAATTTTGGGAGAAAAAACAAACTTACTGTAATTAATGAAACCACAATCACGGTTATAGGTTCTGTTGGGAGAGAGGGGCCAGTGCATGCGATACAGTTTATACTGCACTCTTTTTACTCCACTACATTTTTTCAGATTATGGTTTTACATACTATTTATACATAATATGTGCCAAATGTTATGGCTAACCCTAACCCTAACACATATACACCGATCCGCCATAACATTTGGCACCCTGGTGGTCATAATGTTATGGAGCCCCATACCAACAAACTGTGATGCACTGTGTGTTCTGACACCTTTCTATCAGAACCAGATCCACCAGTTTGTTGGATCGGACCACACGGGGCAGCCTTTACTCCCCATGTACATCAATGAGCCTTGGCCGCCCATGACCCTGTCTCCGGTTCTTTCCTTCCTTGGACCACTTTTGATAGGTACTGACCACTGCACAAGAGCTGCAGTTTTGGAGATGCTCTGACCCAGTGGTCTAGCCATCACAATGTGGTCCTCGTCAAAGTCGCTCAATTTCATTCTAGGGTTACAGTCTTGCTTAAAACATGTTATTCTGTTGTTGTCCTCGACAGAAGACCACTCTGACTCCTGCCCAATTAATCCTGCATGGGATACACTGTACATGGCTCCGACTCAACTGTCTTACTGTTGGTCCAAAGTAAAGTTTTCACATCTTAGCACAGAAGTAAGTTCCTTGCTCTAAAAACAGAGGGAAAACTCGAGGCCGTGAACACTTCCCTCACATTTCCAGACTGACCTCTGGCTAACTCTTCTGGCTTGCTGAGTGCTGCTACACCAGGGTAAACCCGGGTGTAATAGTAGATGGTGTGGCCAATAAAACTAGGCGAAAAGCTTGTACTGTGTGTGCTATCCAACAGTTAATCATCGCTCCTTATGTTTGAGTTTCATTAGTGTCTGGTCTGTAGCTAAATAACAAAGCCATTAGTTCATACAATACATCAAACCACAGACAGGTCCCGCCCCATGGTGGCAGATGTATTTATTAACCTGATTTGTTTGCCCTGACTATTAATGAGACTCCATGTGAATCACTATCTGCTGTTTTATGTGTGCTTTCTAAAATGGTTTAAGGAAAAGAGTGTGAATAAATTGTTTGGAAAGGTATGATTTTGCTAAGAATTGTTGTATTATTAAAGCTGAAATAACGTTTTGTCGTATTTGCTGAAACTTTTACTATATCCTGACAGTAGTACATGAGACAGATAATCAAAAAATCAGGTTCCTCTGGCTCCTCCTCCTAGTGCTACTAATGGCATTTACAAGAATCCACCAGGCTTGAATGAAAAGAACCAATCAGAGCTGAGAAAGAGAGTGGATTGTTGATACTCATTCACATGTCTCAGGATCTGTGAGTACAGATCCTGAGAATGAGACTCAACAATCAACTATCGTCAAGCCTCTAACCCGTAGCGTCATTACATCAAAATCTCGCCAGTTGTAGGCGTTCCTCTTTAGGTTGAGTTTGACTTATACAGCTGCCTACAGTATGTTTAGACAACATGTAATATGCAACTATGTTGCTGGCCTGGTTTTTCAGCGTCCCCCAGCAGGCGTTTTTAAATGTGACCACAGGGATGATGGAGCTCTCCTTTAACTCCCCCCACAGCAAAGGAAGGCCCTCTGGCCCCATTTCCTCCAGCAGCAGCTCTGCCTTTCTACTCTAACCCTAACATGGTGAGTCATGTCGCTGTAAGTACTCATTAGGAACAAGCTTCCACCTCATTCACAGCTGCTGCCTACGCTTTCAGCTGGTTTTGGTTCTTCCCCTGTACAGTGCTCTCATATCACTTCATTAACCTTTTATTGAAATCGCTCTCACAAATTGAATATACTTTAAATGCTGGACACTAAACTGGCATGTTGAGTCGGCCAGTATCATCCCAGGAAATCAGTGATTTAGCTGTGTTTACACAGAAATGCAGTAAGGCAAGCATTTAGAAATACAGAGGTTGGGGCATCAAAGCACCACAACTTTGATTGTATACTGCTCTGAAAAAATACTGATAATCCATACCAATATCAATAAGAAGTAAGGGTACTCATGTGCCCATTTCAGGCACTGTGAATGGCATCATCTTGGTGTGTCAGATTCATTTCACTACACTACACTAACTTGTAGAAACTTGAAACAATAAAAGTTGTAATTAAAAACCAACCAAATAATTTCTAGTTTTTGTACTATGCACGTTTGAATTTATAATGGTTAACAGTTCATTGCTTTGAGCATCAGTTTTAATACTGCATGACATTTTACTGTGTATGTACTGTATGTTCTGGAAAAAAAGCATGTTGCTGACCATTACACAAAATTTTCAAAGTGACATGTGGTGAATTCACAAATATATGTTGGTGTCAGTTTCAGATATTTTCTACGTGAAATGTGAGATTTAAAAAAATCACATGTATGTTGGTGATTTAACAAATGAATGAAATCAGGATACCGATGTGTGTGAATGTGAAACACATTCACACGCTTTTTTTTCACAAGCACATGTGAAATCCACTGACAACCATGTTTCAACCATACTGTCCAGCCCACAGACTTTTAGGCCCTGGTCTGAGTATAGTATACACTGGAGTAGTGCTGCAACTGGTTTAGCCTTCCATTAACTTGAATAGGGATAAAATGATTGAATTATGTGGTTTTTCTTGACTTTCAAAATTTTATTATACTGTCCTTTCACTGGGTTGTGATGCTCTAAAAAATGTATCCACCATTTACAGCTTCTTGTGTACGCTTATAGGTAGTATTTGATGGATGCCATTGCTATATTTACAGTTTGTCCACTATGTCAAATTGGCTTCAAAGCCCTGTGCTCTTCCTGGGGGGATTTGTCGCCTTCCGTGGAGTCCACCATGTTTCTATAGAAGCCCAGAAGGGGCAAAGAAAACACTAGTGATGCACGATATGGATTTTTTTTCAGCCAATACACTTATTACTAATAAGGTAACCGACAATTTTACAATTTAAAAAAATAGTTCATAAATTGTAGTTTTTCGCACACCTGAGGGTAAGAGGGGCTGAGATCTAGTGAGCAAAGATGGATGATTTAATATTCCATAGTCCTAAGGTAACCATATCTGACATGACTTTTGTCAACAAAAACAACAGTTCTGACGCAAATGTTTTTAGTTAAGTTTATCAAAACGCTTCACAAACACACTTGGGTTTTAATAGAAAATAAAGGGCTATTATTTGTTTTGCATAAGAATTCAAAATAAATTAATTTAATATCAACTGACAATTTATCGGCTGTAACTTATTTATCCCGGATGTTTGTGTTTTTCGTGCATTTTGTAGCCCCCATAGTTTCCCCTACGCCCTCCGGTGGGGGGGGGGGGGGG